GAGAGTTTGTGCCACCATAACCTTCCTGACCCCCCCCCCCCCCCCCGACTCTCACCTTGAGCAGTATGAAGAGGGAGTCGGTGTCGCCGTACACCACCCTGACCTCACCTTGAGCAGTATGAAGAGGGAGTCGGTGTCGCCGCACACCACCCTGACCCTCACCTTGAGCAGCATGAAGAGGGAGTCGGTGTTGCCGTACCTACCCTGACCCTCACCTTGAGCAGTATGAAGAGGGAGTCGATGTCGCCGTACACCACCCTGACCCTCACCTTGAGCAGCATGAAGAGGGAGTCGGTTCGCCGTACACTACCCTGACCCTCACCTTGAGCAGCATGCAGAGGGAGTCGGTGTCGCCGCACACCACCCTGACCCTCACCATGAGCAGTATGAAGAGGAGTCGGTGTCGTCGTACATCACCCTGACCCTCACCTTGAGCAGCATGAAGAGGGAGTCGGTGTCGCCGTACACTACCCTGACCCTTACCTTGAGCAGTATGAAGAGGGGTCGATGTCGCCGTACACTACCTGACCCCCACCCTGAGCAGTATGAAGAGGGAGTCGGTGTCGCCGCACACCACCCTGGCCCTCACCTTGAGCAGTATGAAGAGGGAGTCAGTGTCGCCGTACACCACCCTGGCGGCCCACTCTGGCCGGGACTCGATGGTGCGGATGGCTCGCTCCAGCGTCTCGCGGCCCTTGCTGACCACGCTGTCCCCCACCTGGTGGCAGCCGACACAATCATCGGCCCACTGTCGGGGACGGCACCGGCCCTCGCAGGACACTGTCAGCGCGGGCGATTGTGTGTCACATCACACACACACGTACATGCACATGCACACTCACGCACGCGCACACATACATACACACACAAACAGCCAGCGAAGGAGATTGATTGCGTGCGTGCGCGTGCGTGCGTGCGTGCGTGCGTGCGTGCGTGCGTGCGTGCGTGCCGTGGGGGCCACGGGGGGGGGGACAACGGACTGCGGAAACAAGGGGAGCGACAGGAACAAGATCGCCGCGAGAGAACAACAGACGCTATCTGAGCGTTGGACAGCAGGCGACATCACAAACACTGGGCACGACAGAGCACAGCAAGACAAAAACTGAGATGCGGCACGAAACGCGGCACAGCGCCATACACTGCAACAAGGACAAAAACCGGGCTTCAAACGTACGCATACGGCTAGGGACGAGGTGGGCAGATTCGGACAGCCGCCCTCTCAGGCATGAACATTGCTGTGGGCCTGAGAAGACAGCCCAACAGCAAGTCGGAGTGGTACAAGACTGACCTCGATACAAGGCATGCGGCCGCTGAAGTTGGCCGAGGTGTAGCCGTACGTTACGTTGGCGATCAGCTTCAGACCCAGCTGCTTGAAGTCGAGCAGGCGCCTCACCGACGGATTGTCCTTGTTGGCCTTCATGGCCTTCTTCACCTGCAGTCGCACGTCTACGTCAGTACCCGTCACCTCCACTCATCGAGTAACGCTCCCGCAGCGCCCGAGCACCTGGCGACGAGCGTGAGGACTCTGCACAGCCACAAGCTTTATGTCAGAGCACAGCCGGATGGGCCAGCGCTGACGGCGTCAGTCAGACGTCTGTCACCCGTCTGTCGGACGACCGAGGCTTCCGATCAGAGCCAACCGGAGGCCACCCGGCACCGGCTGACGGTGCCGTCGTCGGTGCCGACGCGGCGCGCCTCACCATGATGCGCGTGCCGAGGATCTCAGCCAGCATGTCGGGCAGCACGCCGCGGCGCACGTCAGCCGTGACGAAGGCGACGCCGCTCGGCGACACGTGCAGCTGGTCCCGGGCCAGCAGGCGCGCCAGCAGCGGCGGCGGCACTTGCAGGGCTGTACAGCCCAGCGGGAACGCGCCCCGCCTGCGCGCAGCGTCGGCAGGTGAGCGCCCGGCGCCGCACGCGCGCCCGAACCAGATGCGCGCTACAACAGCAGGCCCCCTCCCCCACACACGTAAGCGGGGCAGAAGGACGGGGCGTTGAGGGGAACATTATTCGGTGGAGGTCGTGCCTGTGGTTCCCGTACTGTCCCGTAGTTTGCTACCGTAAGTCACAAATAAAGGGGAGAAACACAGAACGTAACCTTCACTTAACAAGCCCGCTTCTTAGTCCCGACCAGACTCACTGTCCGAGGTGCTCCACGCGGTCCAGACAGGTCGAGAAGCAGTAAGTTGTAGGCGATGATCATGGACGGGTAGAGGCTCTGGAAGTCCAGTACCACCAACGGGATCCACGTACATCCTGCAGCCAGCCACAGTGAACAAGGTGTTTGTACGCAGCTGCACCACCGACAGCCCCACGACCGCGCACACAACCGGTTGTCGGAGAAACGGCAACGCGTATGTAACTCGACAACGCCTATCAAAGCGCTGAGGCCCAAAGTCAGGACAACGACAATCACAAACATTGGAACACAGGTAATTTAACACATCTCAGCTACTGGTTGGCAGTCTCCTTTGCTCCTGTCGTCCACAAATCCACGCCAATTTGCTTGCTTTTCTTTCCTGCTAGCACGATGACGTGATATTTATGGGACGTTCACATCCAACCACTGATGCTTCAGGGCGTTTACCCATTTCGCTGACATGCAACTTCATGCTTCGCACGGCACCGACCGCTCATTTGGGAGATGCAAAGATCGCTTTTGCCGCTCAGAAGGGCGACGCCTGAAATACAAACTCCGACACTGGCATTCCTCGGCGATGCCCTTCGTCCACCACGGCCTCAGGAGCAGTTTCACCAGCTCATGAAATGCGCTCTACGCTCTGTGCGCTCTCACTTGGACTCGGGCTCCAGAATGAGCTGCACACACTCGGGCGCCCGAGGCCGCCGCTCGCTGCTGCACAGACGGCGAGACGGGCACGAAAGTTGCGCGGCTTGGCCAGCCGCAGCATCATCGACTCGACGCGGGAACTGCAACCGGCGCCAGGTGTCATGTGGCCGCGCTGAGGCCGAGGCGCGCTTGGCACGCCAGTGTGAATGGGGTCACAAGGCTCATTAGGGCCTCATCAGCAGCTAAGGCGGAGGGTGATTAAAACTGAGGGCAGATTGAGCACCATTGATCTGTACGACACAAAAACAACCCCAGCTTTTTTAATGAAGTTTGGCTGATTTCACACGACAGTAGTTCATTTGTCAATACTTATGTCCATTTGTTTTTGGTCCAGGACGACTGCCGTGAGGACAACTACTGAGCCAGGCTGGGCGCCCTGACCTGCCCGAGAGCTGGCGTCATCGCACGGGCCCGTTCGCCGCGGCAGGCGACGTCACCCGACCGACCTGCGAGCCGCGGGAGATGACGTCGAAGAACTGGATGCCGAACACCCTGGCCAGCTCGGCCGTGCGGCCGATGATGTCGAGCCGCCCCAGGATCTGCAGCGTGCCCCGGCTGCGGAGGCCGTAGTACTCGACCACCCGCCACCTGATCACGAACACGCAACGGCCAGTCACGCCCGGTCCGCAGCGGGGGCGTATCTGTGCGCTGGACACCCGGCAACTCGAGGAGCGACCGTCCGGACGCGGGACGGAGGTCCCGTGCCCACGAGGGCCTGCGGAATCGATCCAAGTCTAGGGAATCCAAGGAGTCAGCACCGCCAGCCTGAACGCTGAAGATCCCCTGGCTTTCCCTGCCAGGAGTAGATCTAGCCCCGATATCTAGGCATCCTGGACGATGGCACACAGGCAAGGAATGATAACCTCGTTGGCTCACTTGTTGACGGCGGACGGGTGCTGCCACCACTCGGTCAGCTGCCGGAAGCTAAACTCGGGCAGCCGCTGGTGCAGCACCTGGTAAGCGATGTTCTCAAACGTGTAGCTGTACAGCGCCACCTGCAACACGCACAGCGGCCAATAATAGAAGAACGTAATGCAACGAGCGTCTTTAGTGGCGTCCGCAACAATTATGCTAAGACACGTACCGATTGT